ACCTTGAACGAAATTGCATCGATGATCGACATTAATAGCAGGAAAAAAAAAAATAATCAGAGGGTAACAACAAATTCTCAACCGTGTAATTGTTTTAAAAAGCAACTTAAGAGAATTTCAATAAATCAATAAATGGAAAAAACATACAGCCGTTAGTTATAATTTGTAAACACTCATTAGCGAAAACCAACTAAGCATTCAACCAACCAGCGTCAAGATCATGTTTATATAAACATAGGGCAGGTGTAAACAACAATATTTTGTTACACACAGCAACACCCTCAACAAACATAATAAATTATCACGATATGCAGCATTAATTTTGTTGTTAATTCTTTTTGTTGTTGTTATTGTTTTCATTTTCATTTTCGTTGTTTTCGTTTTCTTTTTCAAATTAAAACACCGCACAGCATTTTAACAACCATATAGTACGACAATAGCAAATTCATGAATAATGCAAATTAACATTTGTGATTCGCGAATACTGACATACATAAATATGTATGTATATATATATAAAAAACACTCACGCTGGTAACAATTACACAAGATTTAAAAGCACATTTATGTTGCATGTTGTTCAGTAATTTTAGCATTTGTTTTGAGGGTTATCGATGCCGTTTACATCTCTTTGCTGAAAAACGACAAAAAATATATAAACATTTTTATTGTGTGTGTGTTCCTTTCTTGTGAATTCCATACGAAAAAGCAATAATAAACACTACTACTAGGAGTGGTAAATGTAAGCAAAACGTGTAAATAAAAACGAAAAGAATTTCAATATTAGTGTCAAATTAAGTATAAATCGAAATAATTAAAAAAAAAAAAAACAATAATTAATTGTTAGTTTAGTTATCAATCATAAGAAAAAGTGGAAATCACACAACTTATGGCAATGATCTTGACATGATTTTAAATAATGGATGGTTTTGCATTCGATTTGGTTTTTTAGTTTTTTAAAGCGCAATTTAGCTCAAAAATTCAATTCTATGAAACAAATATCAATTTAAAATTTTTTTTTTTTTTGAGTTTATACTAATTTTCATTTTGTTGTCACACGTTTAGCAACAAATTACAAAATTCCGCTAATGAATTTTAAATTTGAGTTGAAAAAAAAACCAGTGCCTAATTTTAGGAGTAAACAAAAAATACTGTCTATTGCTCAGCTTTAGGCGCAAATTACATTGCGTTCGAAGTCATCGAATATTTCAGAGTTCAGCAGCTGAGAATGAGTATAAAGCATTATTCCGAGACGTAAAGCCAAACGACTATCGTTCGCGATAAGTATCGATCATGGATTGTTTCGAAAAAAACTACACAAAATCATTCGCAACAAAGAGGCTAAAACGTGCAAAAAAGAGCGTTGATAAGATTCTTAGGGAATATCATTGCCTTCAGTCTGTAGTTTAGAATACTGAAAAAATACGCACGACTTACTTTAAAGGCTGAAGCTGTAGGGGAGATGTCCCCTGCGTACGTATTACGGCGGTGGTCGGAAAAAAGCGGGAAGAGAAAAGTAGGCTGCAAATGCATTCAATTGGTAAACACTATGCGTACACAGATCGAACTCACTACAGCTACGACCAACTCAATTAAATCTGGTGTCGCAATTAAAGTCTGGTGTACCGCATTGAGCCCGAATATGCCGATTTGATAATCACATTTCTTAACTGTTTTTATAGGCAGCTGCCCTTGCAAAAAGTATTAACTCCTTTCGAATCCTTATCGTCTCGATAAAACTACGTTCACTTCAAGATTTTTCTTTGGAAACGTATGAACTCTTTCTAAAGACATCTGTTAGCGAAATAAATAAGCTAACAGACACAGGCGAAGCTGTAATTTTCCCGCAAAAGTTCATCTGACATGGCCACAGGTCTTCTCGGAGTGTTTGTGACAAAACTCGACATTTTAAAGCACAACACTTTTTTGCCTTACTCTGCAAAGTTCACGGCATCTACTAACCCATTAAAAAAAAAATGATCTACGGGCATTACGCACCATTGTGTATTATCTGTGCGCTTAGGTGCTTCTGACGAATATTTCTCAGCCAAACTTTTTATTGTGTATGTGGTACACACAGCTTATCAATTTATTGACTACGAAAATGAATTATTATTCTATTTTGTTCTTCATTTTTAGTTACGTTTATTAATAAATTATATTCTTTTTCATCTTCATCATCGTGGAAATCATGTGATTACAGTCTTAAAAAATTTTCTAAACATTAATTTTTTTTTTTTATTGTTTCTCATGAGATTTTTTTTTTTTTGTTGTTGTTGTTATTTATCTTTAAATACTTATGTATTCGAATTTTTGTCAAAATTTCTGATTCATTTAATTATATAATTTTTAAATTTAAATATACAATTTTTTCCTTTTTGCATTTTATTATTATGAGTGAGGGGATTTTTAAAAATTTTATTTTAGTTTTGTTCATTTCTTTTTTGTTTTATTATTATATGAATAATAACAAGAGAGGTTGCGATTTTTGTTACATTCGGTTTTGTTTCTTTCTCTATTTGATTATTATTAAAGGTAATGAAAAAATTTTAAACGACACAATGAATTGATTTCGGAGAAAAAATGGATTTGTTAACAATATAGACATCTATCATTAAGGTAAAGGTAAAGGGGACAAACGTCATTTCCTCATAACATTGATTTTACTTTTCTTAAAAAATAAAAAAAAAAATGTATTTTGAAAAATATGTTTTAGTTTTTTTTTTTTATTTTATTTATTATGTTTTTGTTTTTTATTTTTGATTTTCATATTCCTATTTTTTGTTTTTTTTTTTTTATTGTTGGCGACTGATGATTTTTTTTTTTGCTTTAGTTTCTTTTTTCTTTTGTTTTTTTTTTTTTGTATATCAAATTTAGTTAAAAATGTTTCTTGTTTTTATAAACTTTTGTTTTTTTCTATAAAATTTGTGATTTTCATTGGTGCATTAGATTTTATATAAATTAATTTTTCTTTCTCTTGTTTTTCTTTCTTTCTTTTTTTTTTTAAGAGTTTATTGGTGCAGGTTAAAAAATTGAATTATAAAACTAAGAAATTTAAGTTTCGTTTTTCTTTTTAGTTTTGATATAGAAAAATACTCATATTTGCTAGTTTGGCAACTAAAACTAAAATAGTGCAAATTTTAACAGGTTTTCTTTCTTCTTCAGTTAATATTCGTTTAGTTTTTAGTAAAGAGGCTGGTTTTTGTTTTTCTTATTTAATAATTATTATACAGGATTTTTTTTTTTTTATTAAATTTTTAAATTTTTTGAATTTTATTTTTTATAAAAATATTTTTATAATTTAAATGAATTATACATTTATTTATACAATTATCGGCTTTATTGTTACTTTCTTCTTTTTTAAAGCCTTTAAAGCTTTTGAAAAAAAAAAAAAAATGAAACATCTTGGAAATAAAGTTTAAGATGGAGCACGACTAATAATTTTCATCAGAAGGCAATCATGTCGCCTCTATCTATTATATTTCTTTGAAAAAAAATCAAATCTAAATTGATAGGTAAGCTAAGAAAAAAAAAAAAAAATTAAATGCTTTGTAGATTAATAATTCCCAAATTCATTCACTTAATTCATACTTAAAGAGAAATACATACGACTGTCGGTATTATTATTATTAGGTTAAATGTTCGTTCGATCACTTAATTTTATAAAATAAATCAAAAAAATATTTTTAATAAATTTCCGAACTTAAACGTCATAAAATAACCAGAATTTTAAATGAAAATATGTTAATTGGTATTGTTTAGAACCTGGAACATACTGAGATATATTTTAATAAACCTGACCCTTTCATTCTCTATTTAATTGCAGTCAGCGTAGAAAAATTTATAGCATTTACAAGTAATTGTTAAACATAATATCAGCGCATGGTAACATTTTTTTAATGAGTTAACTTGTATTATCCATTTTGTAAAAAGAGTTTTCGTTTTTCTATAATAATTCATTACACGAAATGAGAGAAAATCTTCAATAGGTTACAATTATGCTAAAAGGCTTTTGTTAAAAAATATATTTAAAATTATGTCTTTAAAAAATAACTGCGTCATCTTAAAAGCCCCATTACTAGACAGATTATATATGCTCGGCCCTTTTTTTGTGAAGGAATAATTTGGCTAACTAAGAAGAGCTTAACATTTGACATACACCATACCTGAGGGAACATTTTCAGTTTCGATATTGAATGAAGGAGAAAGCGTACAAAGAATTTGAGACCAAATTCATTTTCCTGCATAGAAGTTTCGAATCCAGGTTAACATGCCTGAGAGGGCAAAAAAATTCGTATTTTTCTCATGAATTTGCAAATAATTGTCCCTTAATTTACTTTTTAACCTCACCCGCTGATAACTTATATTGATATTCTAATCCTCTTTTTCAATTTTGAGGTTAAAAAAAATGCTTAAGACCCATTTCGGAAACTCGTGTCATGAAACTATTCACAATGAGTGAGCTAATAAATCTTAGCTTATCAAAATTGTTGCAATTTTCAGATCTTGAGAATTTCAATTCAACAGAATGGCCATGATGAGGGGGTAAACGTAGCTGAATGGACCCGCAATTTGAATATAAATCTCTAATGCATACTAAGTGCTGTCTATTAAATTGTAAAATTGAATATTTAGATTATTTTTAGATAACTCTTTTTAAAAAATGTTTTTTTGTTTGCACGAGGTTTTATTTTTTTTATTGAATAAGATATGTCAGGTTTATTCATTAATTTTCACTTTCGATCTTTTTAGACTCTGATGACAAATATTCAAAATTCGGCTTGAGCTAAATATCTTTTCCTGTCCTAGAGATAAGAAAACACATAAAGAATTCAATCATATATTAGATCTTTTGGGAAAATTCTTTAAATCCTTTCCACTTCAGACGTAAAGTCATGTCTGGAAATATTATATTATAATGATAATAATTATAATAAAAGGGGTGATGTATGTAATGTGTGAAAAATTTGTTTAGAAAGAATTCTATAAAATTTCTTTATCCTAATGGAGAGACTTAAAAATTTATAAAAAGGTTAAAAATACTGAACAGAACGTGTGAAAGTTATGCACGCCTAAAGATTAACGCACGGTTGACATGAACGAGTACCTCCCCATCGAGAAGATGAACTACCAACTTATAGTCGAGGAGGAGAAAGAATTCGCGCCGTTTGACCTTAATGGGGAGTTATACCGTGACCTGATCCTAAACCGGCTCAGCAGCAAAGAGGAAGGCTAATCGCGGACTTAACCAAGTCTAAAGAAGATGTCTGCAAGGAGGTGAGCGGTCGAGTTGTCACCAAGAATTCAATAGACAACTGGATCCTCTCCTCAGAATAACTGCAACCGGCGTTCCCGAAAGCGAAGGTGTACAAGGCATTCTACCAAGCAAATAAAATATTTTACGCATGCATGTTGCAGCATATGGTGGACAGCGAGATAGGAAAACGCGTACAGTCAACTGTGGCGGATTTTTCTCGCGAAGAGGTCCCTGCGGAAGCGCATAAATTTATTTGGGTACGCGCTGTTCATGCTGCTGAAGGTGTTAAATTGGAGGGAGATCGAGGACGAAAACATATCGACATACTAAGGCGTCAGCTCCTCTGCGCGGAGGTGAGGATTAAGGATTAAGTGGATATAGGAGAAAACTAGTAAAATCTCATCTTTTTATGGTGGGTATATAGAAATGCTAATATATATAATATTAATGGAAATACTTTTCATGACACAATTCGTTTAGACCAATTTAACACTGACTACATTTTCATGCTGTTTTGTTATATTGCTGAAAAGAATTCTTTCCGCAGTAGTCACAATAATGTATACAAAATAGAAAAATGTATTTGGAAACTAAGTTTTAATAAAGTGTAAAATTATCTTAAAGCTTTTTAGCGCCCAATTTCATTGGACCACTGACACGCTGTGCGCGACGAGCTTCTAATTCACGCTGACGTTGCAATTTCTTCTCTTCACGTTTCCTTCGAGCTTCCTCTAATTTGGGATTGCCTAAAAAAAAATATATATAAAATTTTTATTATTATTATTTATCTCTATGAATTCGGATTCGAATATAAAGTTCCTTTTAGGAATAAGCTCAAAAGACATGGCATATTTTTGAAATGGATTTCGAAAATTGCCTTCAGGCAGGTGGAGGAGAAAAGTAATGACCAATGAGGAACAGTTCGGTTAACGTTAATCCCTTTATTCGCCTTGTTCTGAAGCGAATGCATTTTTCTACACGAATAACGGACCGAACTAATTTATACTGCCAATACTTCTTCTAAAATATTAAAGTCGTGCATACAGGGATTCACCCCGATGATAAATTTTACCTGTGGAATTGAATTAATTTGTCACTCCTTTCACTTTCTCCATTGTATATACAATAGCATACTAACCACACTAAGTGTTTTGAGTTTTAAAATTTGCATTTACTTACCAATAGACGTTTCATCGATTGGCTCAAATTCACCATCAGCCCAGGAATCACTATTCCAATTAGCATTGTTTGTTAAATTGTTAACATGTTCTGGTGATTTATCTATTGGGCTAATATTATTGCAATTCAGGAATGGCGTCGGCGTCGTCGATATTGATTTTACTGTTGACAAATCCTTTGGTCTTAAATTCATTGGTAAAATAGCCGTTGCTTGCTTGGATGGTGATGTATTATGTGAATTAAGTTTAGCTAATGGTTCAACAAGGTCATTTAATTGATGTTGCTGCAATTGTTGTTGATGTGGTCGTATAGGAGATTGTCGCAATTGCATTTGTTGTTGCTGCTGTTGAGCTTGTTCTTCTTCATCTTCTCCCTTAAATGAATATGTAATCTTTAAAAAAAACAAGAAAAAGGTCTTTAGGTCGCATAGTGAACTTACGGGGTCTTCTTCCAGACTGCCCCACTCTTCATTATCCCATCCATCACGTACTTCTGCTAAAGCGCTGGAAGCGTTAAGTTGACCATTATTTGCAGAAGCCCCAGCCATAGGGCTGCTAGGATCTTGAGAAGTCTACAAAATCTCATTATGAAGCTTAAACGTTTTATTTTTTAAAACTACTTTGTTAAAATAACTTACATCCATTTCTCCCCAATTTTCATTATCCCAATCATTGTTGCCATAATCTGAGGCCGAAGCGGAAGTATCATTACTTTCATGCTCTAAAGAAGTCATGGACGTTACAGAAGAGGTAGTGGTCGATAAACTGCTACTGGAGGGTTGTTCTGCATAATTTCAAATTAAAACATAAATTGGACTATATACTACAAAAAAAAAAAGAGGATAAAAGTAATACCTAGTGACGCTGGTTTTGATAGATTGCGTCCGGTAAGTGGTGGCCTAGGCCTTGACGAATCACTTTGGCTACGATAAAATTTTGCTGTTACAGCAGTCACCGCCCAACCGGCCCATGTAGCTGCTGCATTACCAATGGAGGGAGTCGCTGTGTTGACATCAGCCTCTGCATCAAACGAATAAATCATGCATTACGTTATTTATTTATTTCAATTCAAGTAGATTGCAAAACTAACCCATTGTTTCTCTGAGAGTAGGATCTTCGGAAACTTTTTCCAATTTACCCAAAAACCCCCTAATCGTTTTGAAGACCGGATCCCGTACGGTTTTTTCCGGGTCCACGGTTAACGAACACAATGCTGGTAAGACACGATTAGCAACCTCGCTCAAGAGAAAATATTGTTGCGTCGCCGCTAAAGCTAAAACCCCAGCCACACGAGCTGGTGGAAATGGATCGCGCATCGCCCGTATAAAAGCAGATACTAAAACGCGTTGTCGCACCTTTAGATTTACGAGAAAAGTTTAGAATTATATTTGCGTTCAGTCACTTTTTCCATTGAATCCTTATTTACCTGCGGATGTAAATGCGGTGCAATTTTACCTAAGCAGACAGTGGTATTTGTTCGTATCCCGCCTTGATCGTCCCTAGCTTGTAAACGAGCAAAATGTCGCAGTACTTCCACGTTTAAATTATTATAATTTAGCCTAGGAGCCAAATGTATTATAGACTGTATAAAGAATGCAAATGGGAGATAAAAATAGATAAATATCAACGAAGTATTTGCTTAATTACCTTAACTGTCTGTTCTCTAATGGTAGCGTTAGTATCTAAAAAACCGTGAGCTACTTGAGGAAAAATCTGTTCATTAACTACTTGAGGTTGAAGATGAGCAATAAATAGTTCCAGTTGTTGTAATAAACGAGAGCGGGTTACACGGTCGGTTGAGGCGAAAAGTTTCACAACGCAAGGTACAATGCGTTTTTGATATTCAGCTTCATCAAGTAGTTTTCCAAGCTACAATTTTTGTTTTGAACGTATATAGTTTTTTCCACAACATTTTCTATTGTTATAATATTACCTTAAACATAGGTGCCAAGACTGCTGAACCGGCATCACCATATTCATAGGCCGTTATCAGTTGTGGTAAAATTTTATGCCTGCATTTTAAATAAAATAATCGATTTAGGAGTTCTTGTCGTAAGGAAGGTCATTTTAATTACTTGCACACATTATCAGGAAAGTTATCCAAATGCAAAGTCAAACCAGAGAAGAAACGATTTTTCTCTGCTTTATCTTTAATTTGTATTTCTTCAAGAAATAATAATGAATCGACCAAATCATTTTTAAAAAATCCTCCGGGCTTACGACATCGTGTTATAATATCAGCCGGATTTGGTCGATTTGAAGGCGTAGCACCCACCAGTTCACAGTATAAGGATTGTATAGATTTCGGTATGCTATTAATATCTTTTAAATTAGAACGCGTCCGCAACGGACCATTAAAAGCCTCCCAAACTAAGCACCCTAGACCCCACATATCAGCCGAACTAAAAGTATTTAACATGAACTATGAATGAAGCGCATATTCAAATTATTTCATTTGCTAACCATTTTGTGCTTGCTTTTAATTTGTTTTGATCACTTTTCTCAGGCGGATCATAAACTTCCAAGGCGGGTGGTACTTTAATAGGCGGCATAGGATTACCGTCTGCCGGTGATACATACTCCAAGCTTCCCAGTTTCCATTCTCCCGATGCATTAACAAACACAGACCAAACTGATACATTATTATGCCGCAAGTTACCATCGTTGTTTAGAAATGATAAAGCACGCTACAGTATTTATGAAGGGAAATAGTTGAGAGTTGAGATTATTCTAAACATCGCTTTGTATAATAATAGTGCAACTTACTGTTATTTGAAATATGCCCCAAGCTAAATATAAATCTTTTTGTGGGCCATCTGTTGATAATTTATTGATATGTGTGCCTAAAGGTTCAACAAACTCTGTAGCCACGTATAACATTTTATCTGTTTCCAACGAATCTATATATTGCAATATACTAGGATGCCTTAGTGTTTTTAAACGCTTCAGGGCCCCTTTAGCCAATTCGCATTTTGCTTCTGATCCATTGCGTATGTCGTAGACAAAAATGGATACCTCTTCTTGGGTGCCTTTACGTTTAGCTTTATGCAAAGTCCATATAGAATGATATTCGAATCCCGCCACCGGTTCGCCAATATCATAAGGGAAATCTTTGGAAGAGTCGCGCGAGAAGAACGACCACATCATGTGCTTTGCTCGACGTCCAAATATTTTGTCCGTATTAAAAAATTAACAAAATTAACACAAAATACTTTTATTTGACGAAAATACTAAGTATTTTTGCACAATATTCTCTCAAATATTTAGAAATTTTCTGTAACAGCTGCTTAATAATAATTGCGAACTAAGGCACGCACACACGTACACCAAATATGCCTTTGTTTTTCTCGTTTGTTTTTATGATCGTCCTTCGTACGTTGTTGCTTTTCCGTTCGTTTGATGGCCACAACAATTTTTTTATGTGCAAATATTTCACTTTCCTTTTTAATGCAACGAAAATCCGTTTTACCCCCAATAATCATCAGAGATTAAAGTATATATTAATGCACTATTTCTCCAATAATTTTTCATATTTCCTTAAAAAATTTCTACTTTTTCACAAGCTTCTCATGACGTATGCGATTTTATTCCGTTATTTTGTCATTTGTCATCTGTGTAATCTACTAACAAATACTTTCCATAATATTCTTGATTGCCTAAATAGAATCCAAATGGCTCTCATCTCTATTAATGATTTTTCTCATTGTTTTGTTATCGATTTCTCAGGATTATCGGCAAAAGCAAAAATCCCGGTTTACGTTCTTTAAACAGTTCTTCAGCTAAAATCAATTTATTGTCTAAATAAAATGAAGACATAAACAAAGGAATCTTTTTTAGATAGCTTTTTCCACGACGATGTAAGTGGAGTTCCCAAAAGTCGTACTTTAGAATAATTTATCAGAAAAATTTCATGTATTTTAAAAGGGAATTGGATAAACACGGAATACCTTTTATAAAAATCACTTCAATATTTTATCATCGTGTGTAGCGCAGCGGATCAAAATTGACTTTTGACCATTTAAGATAAGAAGTACATAAAAGTACATCTCGAGATAAAAGTCTTCACTTTAGCTCACGTAAAAATCATCGATAACGAATTTATTTATCTTATATTTTACATTTCATATAATTAAATTGGAATTTACTAACACATACACTAACACATATTTTGCAAAGTATTTAAGATATATGCTCCAATATCCTCATCTTGATTGGTCCAAGTGATCAATAAAGTCTTATGCTTCGGGTCCTTTTCATCTTCTTCAATTTTGATTTCCACTGTTTCAACTGTAATTGTACAATTTTCTTGCATTGTAACTGTCCAGCCAGATAGCTTTTCTCTCAGCAAAGTTAATAGCGTTTCTCCCGTACGCAGTTTCGGGCTGGGATCGTCCATCTTCACTTTTGACGTGAAACGCATTACATGTCTATTAATACCGACCTCCTTAAGTGCTTCATTGAGATTTTGTAACATAATACGATTGTCTTTCATAACCAATACACCATGAATAAGTCGTCGACGTTTCGGATCAGGTGGTTGGGCGTTATAAATGCGCGTTTCAGCTTTTAGTAGGGACACTGAAGCGTCGACAGGAATTTTTACAGGAGTGGAAATAATACAGGTTTCACCGTTCGCTGGCATATAGGTTTCAATGCTAAACTCTTCTCGAATTTTAGTGCGTAGAAATTGCATTTTCTCAGCTTCACCGTGGACAAGCATAACATTTTTTGGTTCACAATTTTGTATAAGTTGCATAATACCTTGATTTTTTTTTTTTAAATGTTAAAATCATTGTTAATAAATTAATTATTTAATTGCACACGGATATGAATTATTTCAAAAATATGCTCTCACTTACCTTTCGCATCCGCATGAGCTGAAAAACTCATATATTCTACGGACATTTTAACTTCAACGACTTGTCGATTTTCGAATTCCACTTTTTTAGCTCCACCCAAAATTTTATTACCCACAGTGCCTTGAACGCAATAACCCGGCATTATAACCATATTATTTTCATTGGGAGCCCATTTTTTAAATATTTGTAAAGATAAACCGGCATGCAACATGCCCGGTGTAGCGAAAACCACCATAGATCCCGGGCTATCAATGTACGCCTTATCGAAAGGTTTAATATGCTTAAAATCAAACATATTGCGATGTACAAATGTTTTGCGTATTTTCTGATTCGTCCAAGTGATGAACATTTTGTAATACGTATTTGCCTTTTCGGTAAGGCCTAACGCAAAGTATATAGGATATTTAAGATTCATGCGGTCCCAATATGTCTCCAAAAGAATACACAATTCCTGGGCACGGCCCAAAGCAAATACGGGTATAAGTACTTTTCCACCTTTTGCAACACATTCGTGCACTTTTTTCAAGAAATCACGTTCACGACAACGTTTAGAATCACGTATTGTGGTGGCATACGTACTCTCGGAGATTAAGAGATCTGGGCGGCATTTATCTATCCAAGCGGAACCTAAGTGGCGATCAGGTGTCATATTATAGTCGCCAGTGTAAACAACAGATTGCGAAGCGACACGTATCCAAAACATAGCTGCACCTAAAACATGGCCCGCATAATAAGCCTTGATTTCCAACTCGCTATCCACCATAACACTTTGATGAAGAGTGACAGCGGTTACTTTTTTCATGCAATCTTTAATCATCTGAGTGGTGAAGAAATTTGATTCGCCTTTACGTTCCACAGCCACTTTACGCATATCTTCTAATAATATTGGTGCTATAGCCTTTGTTGGATGTGTCATATAAATCGGTCCTGAATAGCCTACCTAAATATTATATTAATCAATCAATGTAATGCGTGGTAATGCGTATCAGCATGATAAAGTAAACAATTAATTTTATTCAGCTATTATACGATTAATGATTGATTTATAGATATGTACAATATGTACAACATTTTACCTACCATTTCAGACATATAAGGCAAAGCTCCGCAATGATCTTAAATGAAAAGATGAAAGCAAACTTCTTTATAATTTCATTCTTTTCAAGTTTTTCCATTTCAATATTCACCTAAATGAAAATGGGAAATAATGACACAGTCAATGTGACTTGTAATGGGTCCATCTGGAACAATGTATGAAAAATCCGGAAAGCGACGTTCATCGTTATATCCCATGTGCATTCCACAATCAAGCATAATGTTTTTACCGCCCATGGATAACAAAAGACAACTACGACCGACGTCTTGACCAGCTCCTAATGGTGTTATTTTTATATCAGGCATGGTCTTAGAACCGCTTATTTAACTGGCTCAAGAATTAATTTGCAATTAATATAATTACTTTCTTTTTTTTTTTTTTTTTTTTGTTTAATACGATTCTCTTGAAAATTAATTTAATATAAAACCAATAAAATAGATAACACAAAATTAATGAACAAGTACTTGTTTAAATCAGAAAAATGATTGATTAATTTACTTGTATTTTTTTTTAAACGATATTTTTCTAATTTTAGAATTACTTTATTTAAATGTTTATTATTTTTTTTATTTACTTCTCTTTAGGAAATGAAAAAGATGTGAAAAGAACAAACCGAAATAACAAAAGAAAGGAACAACAACAATATAAAATTTTTACTTAGATTGCAAACTTTACCTTTAACAGATTTTTTTCTATATATTATTAGCAGTCTTATTAAAAAAAAGTAATAGTAATTAAATATTGAAGTGCCATAAACTTTTCTTGCCATTCAATCATCGTGAAAACATTGAAATATGTTTAATGGAAAATATTGAAATGATTTTATAACGTACTGGGAATTGCTGTTTCAATTTTTAAATTGAAGGTAACATTAACGTAAACATCTGTGTTTGTAAATATATTTTACAGACATGTTTATACCGATTATTTGTAAATTATAAAATATCAAAAGTGATTTAAAAGTGGAAAAGCTTGTTGAAAAACTAAATGTTGGAGGAATCTTTCACTATATCCATGCGCATATGTCAAGAAGGGCACGCGAACGCTTTAGCTTTGAATAAAGACTACTCTCAAATTGCGGTTGCCGGCAGAAGTTGTAAGTCGTCCTAAATATTTATATTTAATTATTATTATTATTATTACTATTATTATTCGTTTAATTCAAGTACTAAAACTATATTCCATTGAAAATGATGGCTTCACTGAGGTATGCAATATGCGTGGTGGAAAAAATCAAAATTTAAGTTATTCATCAAATGATGTAGCGTGGAGTGCTTTAGACAGTAATATATTAGCAACCGCGGCTACAAACGGAGTTGTTTCGGTATGGGATTTATCGAAATTTGGGAGACAAAAGCAATTGCTAGTGTACAATGACCATGAACGCACCGCTCATACGGTTACATTTCATAGCGGTGAAGCGAATATTTTGATTTCAGGTTCCCAAGATGGTACTATCAAATGCTTCGATACGCGTTGCGATAAAGCTATTTACACATTTTACAGTAATTCAGAATCAGTTAGAGATGTGAAATTCAGCCCGCATTGCAATAACGTATTCTCGGCTGTATCAGAAAATGGTACTGTCCAGTTATGGGATTTAAGAAGGTAATAATCCTTACGCGCTATAAAAACAAAATTTATTTTAATTAATAAAATTAAATTTAAAAAAGGGGTGAGAAGTGCTTATTGCAATTTACAGCACACAGTGGTCCAATTTACACCTGTGATTGGCATTCAACAAATAATTGGTTGGCCACAGGGAGCAGAGACAAACAAATTAAGGTGCTCTTTGACGTAAAAATAGTTTGTTTAAAAAATATAAGAATTCTACCTTCAGGTTTGGAATATGGATGGTAAAAATTCACTGGAATACACTATACATACCATAGCAGTTGTTGGGCGTGTCAAGTGGCGGCCAGAACGAACGTAATGAAATGATATTTTATACAAGAAATAGTCGTACATATTAAGATAAAAATTTGCGCATTTTCTTCATTTTTTTTCTTTTTTTCTTTTTAGTTATCATATTGCCAGTTGCGCTCTCGTTGTGGACTATAGTATTCATGTATGGGATATTAGAAGACCATTTATTCCTTTTGCTTCGTTTAATGATCATACAAACGTTACGACTGGAATAGCGTGGAAGGGCAATGATTCGCATTGTTTACTGTCGACAAGCAAAGATTCTACTATTTACAAACATGCATTTAAGGACGCTTCCCGTCCGGCAATTAAGGCTAATTCGCAAGGTGCTAGTTCGGGGCGTGGCGGTGATATATCGTTCGCTGATAAAAAGAAAGTTTATTCAATAATTACTGCAACACAAATGATGAAAATTAATCCATTGATGTACGTACTTATCATGAAGAGTTTATAAATTTATTTGAGAGTGTGCATTTCAGAGCTCGACAGAAATCGATTAATGGTACAGAACAATTTCATATAGCCGAATCGAATATGTGTAGATTTTTATTAAAATCCTCGGTAATGTTAAGTTTTTCTTCTTTACGAATTTATGAATTCATAATAAGAGTTTTTAAACAATTTCTTTGACTTCGCATAGTATACGGGATACAATGCAGATAATTCGGTACCACTTAAGGAACATGAATGCTTCTTTGGTTGCGCTAAAGAGTTAATATTCACAGGTAAAAAACTAGGCGACATTTGTGATCACAATGCTATGGTATCGCGCAAATATGGTAAACACAATGTAAGTTCATAAAATTTCGTATCCAATGATACCCATCCGTGAGAAGTATATTATTTGTTAAGCAATTCATTATATACGCTGTCTGTCCGAAATTGTTTTACTAAAGTGTAGCATTCCTCTTACAAATTGGAAGTTAATTGGAAGCAATTATGAAAGAGTTTCTCGTTGCGCTGTTAAAATAAACTTTCCTTAACATTGTTTCACCATACGTAGTTTTACAAATTTGTAACTTATGTCTCCACAAGAATGATTGCATGAATTAAATTTTGTAGTTTCTATATGTATTCGCTTAAAATAATGGGTATCCAAGCTTGCGGAACAAATTCTACCAATATATATATATATTATTTTAAATAATAATGTTCGTTTCGTTTATCACTTCAAGGCCACAACTTTATGGAATTTCATAAAAGTGCTTTATGCTTCCAATGAGTTTAATAAACAAAAATATGAGCATCGGAATTCATTTTCGAAGCAAAAAAATTGCCAAACCTCCCGTAGGTCAACGCATGCGATCAACAGTGACGTCCTAATGAAATGGGATCATCATGAAAATAACAGTGGTATTGGGTCCGCCGATGGCAATGAACTTAAATCGCAAGACGAGGATGCACTCTTAGATGCCAGCGATTCTGGTGGCAAACAGACATATCCTCCTTACGGTTCAGTTATTTTGTCAGAAACTCAAATCTTAACGGAAATCACTTTTGACAATTTCGATGTGCTGCGTAATGGATTCATTTATGTTGGGCCTCCTGATTTTACAAAAGCTTTAGCATTTCCTGATACTGCTTTGCACTGTGATGTTCAAGCGGCTAGACCGCAATTGGATATAAAGGCTCAAGATCGTGCAAAGTCGCCGGTAATAAACCAATTCATACGCATGCGCAATTCCTAATAGAATGTAATGTTCATTATCAGCCCCCCAATGTGCCGGCTATTTTAAAAGTCAACCACATACCTCCTATTCCGATGTGGGAGCCTCATCAGTTCATAGCGGATGCATTAAAATTGCAGAACGATGTAGGTGATGTACAAACCGCTCTAGCTGTCCTAATAGCGATGGGTGAAAGTCGAAAATATTTACCGATTGAAGAAAGTTTAATTGTAAGTGTTTTTTTATTTGTGAAAAGTTGAGAAATTGCAATATTTTATAATTATCTAATTCAAGGAGCATTGGTTCCAGACTTATATTGATCAATTGCATCGCTATCAAATGTGGAACGAGGCTTGCACCGTAATAAATCTTGCTTGGATTGCATCTGTGCAAGAATTGAATCAAAAATCGACAACTGTTTACACAAATTGTGGCGATTGCGGACGTCCATTGAGTGGTAGTGCCGGTTGGTATTGTCAGAAGTGTAAATCTATGCGTTCATCAAAGTGCTCCATATGTGGTTTAATTGTAAGAGGTGTGTATGCATGGTGTCAAGGCTGCTCACATGGAGGTCACATCGAACATTTAATGGAATACTTTTCGAATCGCTCTATTTGCCCAATCTGTGGTCACTTGTGTGAGTATAATTAATGAATTTGACCAAAAATATTACACTAGGATTAAATATGTTAAGTAATGCACAAACTTTCTGTTTTAAACGAATATGGTTTTTCTTTTTTGCATACATTTTATTATTAATTTATAAAAGTACTTTTAAAAGGTAAAATACACACCACCTGGAGCATCAAAGATTGGATGCAAAATGCATATACAAAAAAAAAAAAAAAAAAAAAAAATTAAAAATTATTTAATTGACGAGAGAAAAAAATAATCATTATTCCATTAAGTACACACATACATACATAATAAGCAGCGTAAATAGCTTGACTCTATTATAAGCATAAGGCCAAGCCGAAAATACGGCCAGAACTGCCCTCCTGCCCTAAAGCACAGATTTTGATAGCTTTGGGAAATCGTTAACTTAAAATTGTAATAAAAACGAACCAAAGTGATGATCTCAACAGTTTTTTAACTTTGGTTAGTTGCGGCTTAGGTTAATACCGAACAACACAATTTAAAGTTTTGATTTGGCGGCAGTACTGGCGGCTAATTGTCAGGAATTAAAATCGAGGCTTACAGTTTGGCAAGCTTCCGCGGGGAGCGAGTCATTTGTTACGCTATTGAAGGAAGTTAAGTTGTGTTTAGCAGTCGATGGTTCATCATCATAACGTATCGTCATTGAATTCGCATTGCCCGGCACTAGCAGGTACCCTAAGGACTCGTAGAATTTAATAAGTTTATCTTTACAATCCAAAGTCATCTTATAACATCCTAAATATCGAGCCAACAGTGATACAGTAACAACGATGCTAAAAAGTTGAGAAATTTTATTTTCCATAAAATCAAAAACCTAATTACTTACAGTTTACCCAATTGTTTACCGCGATAGGTATCATTAACGACAACATCTTCCAGGCGACCACGCTAAACGAAAAAAGATATTTAATAAAATCTTTTTTCAAAACAAAAAATTACTTTTACGAAAACTCACTATAGCACAATTGTGTATAAATTTCCTTTCAATAACTAATGAAGCAGCAGCTATTATTTCATTTTTACGGGCATCTTCAATAACTGTAACATAATAATCACCAGTCGATTTCATTTGCGAGAAGCGTGCTTGTTTGTTAACGAACGTAAAAAAAAACGTCTCAATTGCTGTTTTTCTTATTAACAATGAAATTATCTTAAATTATTATCTTACTTAAAAATTGTGTACGAGTCACTGGTCCGACATGCGTTAGTTGAGATAACAATTGCAAAAAGCCACGATCGAAATCGCTATCCTTTAGTGGCCTCACTTTTAGCCATGTTTCACCAGGGCAGGCTGCCGAAATAAATGGATTAAATTTTGCCGGGCTTTGATGAAAATCCAATTTTAATAATAAATTAGGATCGTAAAGGTACGTTTCCTCCTGTTGAAAAGACATAATATATATAAAATTTAAACCATTTTGCATCTATTTTTTATTTATTTCGACTTGTTTTTAATTTGTCTTTGTTTTTTTTTTTTTTTATCTTCCAAGATAATAATGACAATTTGTAAGAAAGATAACGGTATTCTACCTGAAATTCCACCATATTACAATTGGCGTTAGTTGTTTTAAATTTTGTATGATTACAAAAATATTTTAACCAAAAGGTGTCTACGTAGCCACAATCAAAACTCATTTGTGAATGCTTTCAAAATGTAACATTTCAGTAAATGTGAAGCATACCGGTTTGCAATACCACTTTTATATCTAGCGCTAAAACTTACGATGTTACATTAATTTCGTCATTTTATTCGTAACGCAGAGAAATATACACGTTTTGCGACTTGTATTTACATTATTCGTCTGCTTCTTGATAACGTCCGGAAAATTACAAATAATGCAATAAAAATATTGAATTTCGTACATATATATATATAAGTGGGCATATCCAGCTCAGTAACATGGGGACAGTTGAAATATCGAAAAATTGTCAGAAAACTTAAGTTCTTAAAAAGTCATTAATTAAGTCGTCGGCTGTTAACAAACAGCAGAGATTTATTTCGCATATGGTTATTGTGGCATTTAAGGTGCGTTTCAAGTCAAGAAACTGTTTTTTGCTTCCTTTTTATATTATCGTTAACACTAGAAAGACTGAAACAACTGTCAGAATGTGTAAGATGGTATAATACAAACAACAAACATTTATACGCAATAAAGAGCGAGGGAATGTAAATAGAATAATTAATAAATGCATTTATATCAGATATCATAAGTCACTAAATGCTAAGAAATTGTATCTTTATAAATATAATCTTTTTTTTAATTTGAATTAAAAAGCAATTAAAATAACTTCTTTGGGCAATCTAGTGTTAAACGAATTATTCAACAAGGTCTTGCAGCCGGGTAAGAGAGGGACTCCTACTATGTTCAACTGGTTTCTTTTCAGCTAACAAAAGTAAACAAAGAAATAAAAAGCATTATTTGCAAACAAAAGAGAGGAAAGTGAAAAAATCGCCTTTTGATGACTTATGAGTACCACGAAATTTCTTTTTCGGTTTAAAGCTTTTTAGAAGGTCACTCATTCAAATTTTCAATTCAGAAATGTAGATTGAAACGATTGGAACTGGATTGACTGATTGGAAATCTAATGGAAACTTGATAGACATTAAATTATTACGGTTATGTTATTAATACATTGGTTTTTTATTTATATATGGTCTGCGAAACGTACACATTTCGTACGCGTTAATTCTTAAAAAGAGGTTTTTTCATTATCAAACGAACTGAATATCTTGTCTTGTTTATTTGTTGTTGTTATTGATTTCAAAACGAATAACAACAATGACTTGATAACGGCACCCAACGCAGTTTTAAGTCTGGACGGTGATTCAATGCGTTACGTTATATAAAATCATTTTAACTCTTTAAAATCGAAAGTTTTCGTGAATGTTTAATTAAATTTAAAAAAGTTAGAAATGATAAGAAGGCCATCAAATCGAGAAACCTGCCATCATACAATCACCTTAATATCAATGATCACTTTCATTAACTAGATAAATCCATGTAACACTTTTCATACCCACCATTAAATCTTATTCCTTTCCTCAGCCGGAGCTTTATTTATTCTTTTGAATTTGTAAGACCAAGTAACTTTATATGCCCAAAAGGCTTAAATTATATTCCAAATTTCACAGTTCTTGCGATGTCGTCAACAATTTACTTCGCGTAAGTGGGATGTGGACGAAACGAATCTTATCAATTCTTTTTTTTTTTTTGTTAGATTGTTATGATGTGGTCTGGATCCGCTTCGTAGTTACAGATACCTAACCCGATGATGAAATTTTCTTAAGATTTCTTCTAATTTAATACTCTAGTTGCTTATTTCTTTTTGCTTCCATCCCTTTTATTTATCACAAACGTAAACAAAATCCAATGTTGTCAACTTCTAATTTCTATAAATAAAATGTGAGGTTTTTAAGTAGTCATTTATTATCAAACTAAGCGAATATCTGTAAAGCGCTACAAGTGCGTGTCCGTGTTTTATATGTTTACGCGATTTACTTTCTTCTAGAGTAGTTTTTTTTATTTTCTCTCTTGCTTGGATTTGTTTTGCGATCAGAAGTTTACAAAGCGGATTGATTAATTTAAGCAAGAAAATAAAAAAAAGAATGCCATCCAAATAGAAAAAAAGAGAGATTTGCACCTAACCGCAAATTTTGAACTGGTCGAATATTAATTAATTGTTTTAAGTGCTTTGTATGTTTGTGTTTTAAATATGGTTTTTATATGTTTGCGCGATTTACTTTATTTCACAACAGTTTCTTCTTCTTCTTCTTAAAACGACTACATTACTAAGTTGGTTGCAATTACTGTAAATTCTGTTTGTGCGATTGTGTTGAATTCGTGTATTTCTATCATTTTGAAAGTTAGTAGTTTTATGTTAAATTTACAGAGTTAAAGTTCGTTCGCTTTATTAAACTATGTGCGAAAATTGAAGAACAAAGTAAAAACAGGATATTAAAAGTAAAAAATGCGCAATAGTTTGTGATTTAAGCACGGCTTTTATATATACATGCGCGATTTGCTTTATTTCTCAACAGTTCTTTTTTTTCTTAATACGAATCTTATTGCCCGGCTTGTTGCATTTTCTCTGTACTGTCGATGTATGAGTATGCGTTTGCTGAATTCGTGTCGTCGCGTTATTTCAGATGTTATTTGTCTTAGGTTAGTTTTGCATATCCGCAGTTGGTTTTTTATGTCGAAAGTGAGCGGAAGGCTCGATAAAAATGTGTACGATAGTTGAAAAATATCATAAAACGGATAGAGAGAGCAAGAAAACTTACGCTTTCCTTCTATATTTTTATAGTTTGTACGTTTGCTTAATTTTATAGCTTTTTTTTCCTTAACACGAGTCTTATTGCCCGGCTTGTTGCATTTTCTCTGCACTGTCGATGTATAAGTATGTGTTTGTTGAATTCGTGTCTTTCGCTATTTTCGTGTTAAGAACACTATTTTTAAAGGAACATAAAACGGATATAGGAAATAAGAAGCGAACGTAACTGTGTAAAACTACTCTCTACCTTTGTATTGAGTCTTTATGTAGTTGCGCGATCCTGGTTTATTTCTTTTCGTTTTTTCTAAACACGAGTGTTATTGCTCGGGTTATTGGAATTTCTTATATGTTTTTAGTATTCGTGCATATGCATTATTTCAGACGCTACTTGTCTTACGTTATGTTTGTATCTCCGCAGTTATTTTTCGAGTCGGAAATGAGCGGAAGGCTCGGTAAACATATATATAAAAATTGAAAAAGATCGTAAAACGAAAAGAAAAAATATAAACAAGAAACCATTGGTTAGTAATTTTGTGCGTGAATTTTCACAAAAAGCTTAAAATTATTTTCTATCGTGTACGCGCGTGAGTGAATGTTTAATTTTTATCTCTCTGCCTATTAACGCAAAAAATAGAGAGAGAGAGAGAGAGGATTTATATCATGCAATGGGCCATTGAAACATGACCATTAGATTTTAAAGGTAAGTTTAATAATGATCATTGAATTTTTTGAATAAATATATAGTCATTAGTAACCTTGACTCAAATACTAGCAGATAATAGGAAAAATTTCGATTAGATTGAACAAAATTTTTTTATACTTATTTCATATAACTAATTTGCTTGTACTTGTTAGTGAAACGGAAAATATTTCAAAAAAGCGTGCGATAATTTTTTTGCATGATATTTATATTTATCCCATTTGATAGCTGATAATTTTCGACTGAGAGCAAACGAGGTATCATATTGGACATAATTGAAAATTTAAATAAAAGATATATATTAATAAAACAAATGTATGGAGTTTATTAAACAACTTTTCTTCCTTAACAAAAATTGACTATGTGGCTGCGATGTAGTTTTGTGTTCGATACATTTCATAAGCAAATTCTTCGCGGTGGTTTGGATCAAATTCTAAACCAATATAATCAATTTCCAAATTAAATTGTCCATCCATACCATTCTTGGCGCTGACGGAGAAACCAAAATGTGTAATCTGATTTAACGGCACAGCTTGCTGTTTGTCTTGGATTCTTCCTTTAGAGGAATAGAAAAATTTTGAAAATGGTATCTTCGATATTTGCCAATGTGGCCCGCCACGCGTGTAAAGAGCATAATGGTAGATATCGTTCCACATCATGTCAAAGTAGCCTTCGCAATGTAAATTGATTAAATAACTGCGACCATCACCACGCACTTTTAACACCAGCATATTATACTGACTCCAATCATACGTAGTTTCACGTTTAAAGGATTTCTATAATGACACTAACATATTTACATATATTTTAATATAAGAATCTATCTCATTTAAATTCTTACCCTCACTCTTTTAGTTCTCATACTGGCGTAACCAGTTCTTTTTATGATACCGTCTTTAACGTGCTCCGAACAAACATCGCCATGAAATAATCCACCGCCCGAATTGCTTAGTTCTAACATTGCTGTACTTCTGCCTTCATTATGATCCTTATCCGAAGTAACGACCCATTTATCTAAAGAATTTTCGTTCTTGAAATTGAATACTATATCGGTTTCTCCAGGTCTATAAACTAAAATTGGATCTGATTCAAAGGTTTCCTTAACCTCTTGTCTCCACAATTTTATTTCTTCCTTTAATTCTTTAAAGCCATCCAAGATCATTTGCTTCCTAGACGGTTGAGGTAGAGCAGTTTTATAACCCGATTTCTTTTCACGCTCCCAAAAGGTAGACGAAACCGGTGAAGTATGTATATGAGATAAACCGTTTAACGATTGTACACATAACGGCAGATATTGGCATACAATGCGCGAGAGCGTTAACATTATTTAATATAATTTTTCATCAAAATATAAGAACTTGTTTCTTTGCTTTTCTCTCATATTTATGAAAATGCGTAACTATCAGCTGGTCTTGTAACAATTCAAAAAAATATTTCTAAGCATGTGACGTTAACAACTAATCACACGCACGAGAGAAAAAAGAATAAAAGGGTTAATTGAAAAAGGTAAAAGTTACTAGGATGATGGATTTGGTTTCAAGGATATATATTTGGTTTAGTGTTAGGCCTTTCGCAAGTTATCTGTACTTTTTTGTTAAAAATTTCATATAGCATGCAATTATTATTAATACATAAAAAAAAAACTCGATTTACAGAAAGTTGTGGTGAATTCGTCTATTATTGTTATTATTTGAAGGGAAGATTTTCAATTGGATTTGTTTTTTATTACTATTATTGTGTTTTTTACTGAATATTTCTAATTTACGTATAAAAAATTATATTCATTTTTTCATTTGGATTTACCTCATTACATGATGGCATATATGTATAGCAAGGTTTACCTTGTGTCCTTTAACTCAATTTACGCGATTGTCAGCTTATATATATTTGTCGTTTCTGATGAACATACCTGGCCCTGTATATAGTGAAAATGCATTCTAGTTAGTTTAGTAGAGTTTGTTAACTTCACAGAACAAATGCAGCTGTGTAAAAAAGAAAAAATAGGCAGCACTTTTACTAACATAATATAAATATTTACTAAGCCTTTTCCATTCATCTAAAAAAACCAAAAAAAAGATAAATATTTATTAGAGATTAAAGTTCGCAATTATCGCTTTCAACAATGGGTTACGATGAGATATCAAAGAATTCCAGATCTATTACGTCGGGAAATTGGAATGTTTTATATTGGGTTTTAGGAAGTATCTGCTTGCCCGTTGTAATGCCTTTAGTGTTGTTAAATTTATGGCATAGATCACTGATAGCGAAAAAAAGGAAACATTTGCCTGGTAAGGTAGTGCTAATAACTGGCGCCAGTTCGGGTTTGGGTGAAGCTATGGCTCATGTGTTTTATAAAGCTGGCTGTAAATTGTTATTGGCTGCTAGGCGACTAGAAGAATTAGAAAGAGTGAAGAACGATTTATTAGACCTTGAAATTGTAAGTTCATTTGGAACAATTGGAAAGAAATAATTTTTGACTGCTCTGGCTTCCATATCCTTATAAGGTAGGAGTTGCTTATCCTCCCAGTGTTCTACAATTGGACTTGGCTGAACTGAATGCTATGTCCCGATTTGCGGAAAAGGCGATAAGCATACATGGTGGCGTCGACATTCTCATTAATAATGGAGGAATTAGTGTACGAGCTAATATTATTAACACTGCTTTGGATGTGGATTTAAAAATCATGACTGTAAATTATTTTGGCTCAGTAGCTCTGACGAAAGCTATATTACCCTCTATGGTAAAAAGGCAAAGTGGTCATGTCTGTTTTATTAGCTCTGTTCAGGGTAAATTTGCTTTACCTCATCGTTCAGCATATTCAGCATCTAAGCATGCCTTGCAGGCATTCGCGGATTCTCTTAGAGCTGAAATGTCTAATAAGGGTATAAAAGTTACTTGTATAAGCCCTGGTAGGTAATATAGTAATATGATGGTAGCAGTAGTACTCATGTCTTGTTCTCAATCTAATATGTAGGTTATATTAGAACTCAATTATCCGTGAATGCTTTAACTTCCACGGGGCAAATACATGGCAGTAAGTTTCATATTTTCTTTAATTAAAAATTGTTTATACTTTCTAGAAAAATATTGTAGAAATGGATAAGGCTACTGCCGAGGGAATGTCAGCTGAAGCGTGTGCAGAGCGTATATTGACTGCCGTATTGAGGGGCGACAAAGATTTAATCATCTGTAATGCGCAGGCACGCATTGCTTACTATTTGCATTTCTTATGTCCTTCAATTTATTTCTGGATTATGGCTAATCGCGCTTCAAAGTTAGAGAAAGAAGATTAACTATACAAACTGAGTATATAGGGTTGGTTTATTTGCATGATGTATGCTCGTCGCGTACATTTTTTACATAAGATCGTTTTTAATTATAATCATTCTTATCTAATGATTGCTCCTGATATATTCGTTAGATAAGAGTTCATGTTCATGTTTTCAGTATATTTAAATCAATTAAAATGAACTTTAAACGAAACAACGCTACGAAAGTTAGTACTTAAAAATAAAGGCGTTATAAAGGTCAGTTCCATTTTCCAACTTATGCATTGAAAGTCCTATGTTTTCCTTGTAGGCCGTTTAAAAATTTTAAACGTATTCTTGTTTAATATATAACTTAAGGCAGCGGCGACGGTAGTGCAGCCAGTCAAATACCATAAACCGTGTAAGCCCACGTGATCTGGAAAATGAGTTTCAAAAGTTGATGTATTTAACGTCTATTTTCCATATTTTGTATTTGCTTACCTATGTAATGCCAAACGGGGGCTCCCAAACTAATACCTACTGCGGCCAATTGCACGCCGGTATTTATTTTGCTAATTAATGTTGGTTCTAATTGGGCGGTAACATGAGTCGCATCAAAATAACGTGAAAACGTACGCTAAAAATAGATAACTTTCTTATAAAATTTTTAAGGCACTGCAACAACGACTAATGGAACTTACTGGCGGTGGCAGGCTTATGTAACGTATAACAAAACCGGCAGTTAATAAAAAAACATCTCGAAAGAGTATAACTCCGGCTAACCATAAAGGCAATAAGTCGCAATAGGTCATGGAAAGGACGAGGGAACCCATTAAAATTTTATCAGCGGCGGGATCTAAAAATGAACCAGCTTTACTAGCTTGACTAGGCCACCTCCTGGCGATCTGGCCGTCCAGCTAAGAAAAAATATATAACAAGTTTAAATATAGTAAAATAATAATGATTTGCTCACCACATCTGTAATACCTGCCACAGCTAGCAAACTGATGGCCATTCCATAATCACCGCTCACAATCACCCATCCAATATAGGGCGATAAGAGCATACGGCTTATAGTTAGCATATTCGGTACGGTTACGATGTTTTCGCGTTCGATGACTTCGCCCATTTTTTCGCGCATTCTTTCTTGCACTTTATGACGGGCCTCCCGTATATCTTCGACGATAACATTTTTACGTTCAATAAATGATTCCCTTTTCTTACCAATAACTTCTTGGAGAATATCGCGACCTTTAAGAGTTCTTTGATGCAATGATTGTTTTTTACGATCGGCATAGAGACGCAATTTTTCGACATCCCAATTGCGATATTGATTAATGTCGAGAAAAGAGATACGTATAAATCCTGTGGCGGCAGCATAACGATTTAAGCAGTTAATCACATTGGAAGCTGGTATAGAAGCACCGGTCGAAGCTACCAAATCGGTAAGGCCTTTACAAAGACCGTTATGTTGCCGTGATATTTGGCGAAATATAGTGGCAGGTAACATCTTGATCTTGATATGATTAAAATACCTGGTTTATCGAAGTCCCAGATAATTCTGTGCGCAGTGTACCTAAAATCACACAAACGCATTTATACGTAAGCAAATCTAAATATATAAATAACCTTGTTACAAATTATCTCTGTTAAAGTCTTGCCCCATTATGACCCCTTTCGAAATAAATGCTTGCACAATTATCATATCATACCATCAATTATTTTAAATTAATTAATGCTTATCGTGAAAATCTTTCCAACTTTTTCCTTTCAACTTATTATATTAGATTTGAATATGGTTAATACAATTTACAATTAATAGCGTTTGAAAGATTCGCTGTCAAAACTTTTTATGTTTTTATATTTATATTTTTCTTTCTGATGGCTCGCAAATCTTTTCTCTGTACATTAGAGTTGCCAGAGTTTATAATGAAGCAAGAATATGCTCTATGAATGGGCAATGCATGCAACGAACAGAAGTGGGCTTACACGAAAAAGAATCTATATATATATAGTCCTCGAAAGTAACGAATCGAATATCTGGGTATAGGCAGAGATTGTATTAAAAGAAGTCTTATATGATTCTCTACGTTGTTTGAGAATAATATCACATACGATAAGATTAAAGAAAAGAAAAGGCAAAAATAAACGAATTTAGTTTTGAAACTGCTCAAGTCTTCAAATTTAGATATGAAATTAATTTTCGGTTCTTTCTTCAATCTTTCTATAACAATAGATTTTCTACGAACTTGCTTTCAATGCGAATATGTATATTCATAAGTGTCGTGGCGTATTTATTATAAAGACTTTGTAGACTTCTCCGAAAAGAAAAAGTTGCCAACCCTGAAAAAAGATAATATTACATAATGATAATGATTCAATATTTCTTCAACAATTCAACAGCCCTTTTAACTTGAAACTTGGACAATGGAGGATGGTATTAAGCGGAAGGAAAAAATTCGACCTTGTGTTTAATTCGCAGAAGAGTGAAAAATTTATTCTTGCAGATAAATACTTCCAAAAACGTTAATATAAATACATAGTACCAAAGAAAAGAGAGATCAAGGTGCGACACTCCTGGCATTTGACTCCGAAGTAAACAAAAATCATCTGATTTTGGTGCAGTTAATAGTTGAATGTTTGCTAATCATAAACTGGAGAAAGAATGATAAAAATAATTGATTGCCCCTATTGGCTGTTTTTCTTTGTCGATTTAATCAAGTATGAAAAAGATAGCATGATTTTATTGAGGCTAGTGTTATACGTGATTTTGTAAACAAATATAAAAACAGAACAGAATAGTTAAGAATAATAAGTTTTTTTATTTAAAATTTCTTCCTTAACTGAAATTACTTCTCCGAAAATGTTGGCTAAAAATCGCCATTTTAAACGTCATAAATTTAAAAACATCAGCAAAATAATAAATATATATATTTTTAATATATATATAGTTACTTAAGTGTTCTTATCAATGCTTACGATCGCTTCAATTATCTAAAATCTTTTGCTGTAATTGCCTAATACCCAAAATTTTTTGTTAAATTATAAATTTCTACAAAATGATTACTTTGAAGACCTCTTACAGCCTACACCACTTGTGATACAAGGATATATTAAATTTGTGTGGATGTATCAAACCTATACCAGATCCAGATTTTCTTATAGCGATCAACTTAGAATCACTATCTGCCATTGTTCAAGTTTATCTGTCTATCCGTCTGGTCGAATTGTTTCCTTGTGTTCAAAGTATTTTTAGTAGGCCGGTATAGCATATTATTGCCAACGGACAAACGCTTTTGAAAATGGCTCGAACTTTTCGACTTCGACTTTGACTTTTTTCATCACTTTCCAATATAATGCCTTATATGAATAAAAATGTTGTTTAATAAATTTTTTAAAATTCATTTAATAGATTTTATTTATTTTGAAAACGTAACATAATTCTAAATAATTTTTTCATTCTATTTATGTAACTATATGATTATACTTAAGTTTTAAAATTCTTTCATCCAACTACGCTTTTACTATTATTGAATTTTGTTTCTCGAAGAGGGATGGGGGGGAGAAGGGATGGTAGAGAATTTAATTTTCTATTTAATATAATTTTAAAATTTATTTGTTCCACTTTGGTGCTACTTTAAAGCATTTTAACACTGGATATTTTCATTTTATTATTTATTATTATTGAACAATTTTGAGATACATATAAGTATTTGTTTATGTATGCATGTATGTATCTTCTTCAATTTTTAGATAAAGTAAATACTTAATTAATTATTGAATAATTTTTCGCTTAGTATCGAATATTTACTACAAAATATTTTCAATTTACTAAATATAATAAATAAAAATTGTTGTGTAAATAATTGAATATTTACCTTACTGTTTTTTTTTTTTTTTTTTATTTACAAATAATTCCTTTTCGCTTCATTACACGCATATGACTTTCATTATGTTAAAATTTTTATTTATATATATATATATGTATGAATATGACCCGTTAGAGCTAATGTAACATTGAGTCTCGTAAGGAACACATATGTGTTGTCTATCGAAATTGAAAAAGTTATTTGAAACTATTATAAATTTCTATTCCCACCACCGAATGATAAAGCATTTAAAACCATAATATAGTTGGGCACGCCCCAACATTAAATTTCCTACATCACTCTACAATTATTCTTATAATGACTTTTCAAAATAAAGCTTTTTTTGGGGCGGGGGAAGGCGATCCGATCCGAACCCTCTTAAGCAACATCCGTCCTTGGACAAAAAAACACTTTATTGTGGGAAATTTCATCAAAATATTTCAAAAATTGCAGTTTGTAGACTGAGGAGCAGAAATCGAAACAGACAGATCGAGAGACAAATTTAGTATAATAAACACCCGGTATAATAAAAGGTGGGTCAAGCCTTTCTGGGTGTTCCGTACGTCCGCAAAAATTTCCTGTACGACAAGTGGCGTAGGGACTAAACACAATGGGATTTGATTGCTTCTTTTAAGGGCGAATTAAAGATGAGTACGAATTTAATTCATATGTTAAAAAAAGCAATCAGATCTCAGTGTATTTAGATTCTTAATCCCTTTGTTTCATTGACAACATTCAGGAAACACGAAGCAGAGACCTATCTTCTTGGCGTACACATATATATTTAATTGAATATATTTAATAGTTCGAAGGGAACTGAAACATAAGCGGCATTCCTTATCCTTCCCATACCCATAACCAGGAGACATATTTTTAAGAATGTCTATATGATATGTATTATCAGGGGTGGGCAAATTGTTTTGTCGACGCTTAAAAATATTTCAATTTTTACGTCACGGCGGAGCCGGGAATTCCTGATATTATTGATTCAATTTTTCTTTTTTTTAAATCGGTCAGAAGAAGAAAAATACTTAAACACATTCCATATTTGACAGCTGCTCAGTCGAGCCGTAAAGCATTGCTATGTGCGAGCGAATGGAATTCTTTAAAATTTGCAACGTAACGGGCCGAGTCGACGATACCGTGGACCGGCGATAGCATATACCTGATGTAAACATGCCGGCGGCTTTGAGTTATTGAAGGCTATGTTAGTTTGCGATTAAGTTTCGTTAGAAAGCTTTGAAATTTACTGTACTGTACTGTAATGGTACTAGAGAGAGTGTTATATAGAAAATGGCAAAGTTTTGCTTACGGCACTCTTTTAACTTTGAAGTCTTAAAATTTGAAACTCTTGGAGATTAATCCATGTTATAAAACTATAACTTTTAAAAGAAGGTTTTTAAAAACAGCTGAGAAATAGTGAGATGGATACGCGTTCTGAATTTTTCTTCCATATGGGATATGCAAAGTAATCTTTCTTGTGGTGTGATAGATAGTGATATCGTTATGAAATTTAATGTAATCTTAAAAATTATCGCAGAAAGCTAAAACTTATCGAATATAGGTTTGTTTTTGTTCCGAATAAATAATAAATTTCAAGATGCCTTTGAAAAGAGTTTGGCATGCCGATCCGCTTCTGCCGGCAGGAAATTGGAGAAGGAGATATTTTAATGTTTTTCTGTTACCGGTTCGAAAATTTCTACAACAATTTTTAATTCTTTTAAGCTCATCTATCAGCTGAAAACATAGATGCTGCCTGTAATACTACTGACGCATGCCTAGACTCAACTCAGGATTTTGAAAACTTTTTTGTATTGGTTTCGGTTGCGGTTGGTATATATATATGTATACACACATATATGTATATATATATATATATAACATACATATACATATATACATATGAACATACATACACATATATATGTATATTACAATAAATATATACATGTCTCCACGTTCATCGTTCCCTTAAAGTGTTCAACTTTTTTATTGGTCCCCTTTCATTAAGCAAAAAAAGGCTGTCAATCAAATTGCTTAGAGGTGGTGGGTATTGAAAATTCGCTTTTCGCGTATATATATAAATGTTCGCGAATAGTTTTGTTTTTCTTCTTTTTTTTTTTTACATCCTCTCTTACAAAGACCAAGGCTTTAATAGAAATAGTTTTTTTCTTAAATGTTATGAGGTAAAATGTATTAGATAATTAATTAATTAAGTGCTAAGTACTTTTTTAAAATTAATAAATTTTGAATTGTACAAAGTAAAACTTATTACTAAAAAAATCAGGAGCAGTTAGTTAATCTTGATATAAAGTACATTTCAATTTCTAAGTTATGTAATGCAATGCTTCAGTTGTTGAACCCATAAAGCAATTATAATCTCGCGAAATGTTTCCTTAGGGAGAATTAAGGAAAAGCAAAATAGAAAGGGGTTATACCGGAAAGTTCTCTCCGTTTTTCGAATATGGTCTCAAAATGGTTGACTGACCTGAATTAAGTCTTTCCGCAATTCGCCTTTTCCCCGATATTGTGAAGAAGGGATTATGCGCTAACAGAGTCTTGACATTGTCTTGACGTTGGGCGAAAATGGTCGCGCACGCGCGTTGCTTATCAGAAAGCAAGCATTTACCATTAATCGAATATCAATATTTGTCTGTCGATATTTTCTTTATTAAATTTCTTGCAGGGACACTTGCAAATCGCTTTGCTGTTCCAGTATACGTTGCAATTTGACTCTAAGCGCGATTCGGTCTTCTTAACTATAACCACAACAACAAGAGTGTGAGTCACATATATGATTCAATTGACTACGCGCATCATTGCGGAAATTGTTGTTGTAACCGGAATGCATAAAACTATCCGGAAGACCTGATATATATGAGTGCCATAAAAAAAAAAAAATCAAATTCCATGTCATTCCAAAAACCATATTTCATTCATTGAAGGCTTTCAGATTTAGATGGAAACCTACGAATTAACAAATGTAATTTCTATTATTCTATTACGCTTAATATATTTTAGATATCCTTTAGATATATGTATAAACATTTGTTTTACTCTTCTTTATTGAACTTACGCTCAGTCTCGTCGAGTTCACTAAAGACGCTTTCCTTATGTCAGCCTACGATTGATTGATCAGGGGAATTTAGTACTTTAATCGGAAATACAAAACTTTTTGAAAACACTTTTAACTGAGTTGCAACAACTAATAATAATAAGTTTAAATAATATTTTGTTAATTGTTTTTTTTTTTTTGCAAAAAATTAGATAATGCGATATGCAGGTACCGCTGTACAATATACTATTATGTCGGTGGTTATGAATATGGATAAGTCATTCTCACTTTTCATATATTTTGAAAAATATTCTTGGCCTTGGATGGCTAGCATAATAAATGCCATATATTCGCATATAGTTTGCATGTTTTGTTTGTATTTCGATTGATTTTAAAAATTGCTTCTTCCCACACCTTGTTTTCGCTTTACTTAAATTTATTAGATTTTAGAGATTTATCCGGAAGATCACAAGTTAAAAGAACAGAGAGAGAGAGAGAGAGAGAGCGATAAGAAGTAGGAGAGAGTAATATTGATTTATTAAAGTGATATTTAATTATTTACTTGAACTATTTTACACACTCGTCTATCTCTTCAGTAATTGTCCACTTGATTAATTCATGCAGCGAACGAGAGCATTTTAGTTATAGTTAAGAGATATTTTATATTTACATTTTTTTTTTTTTTTTTTTTTTTTTTTTTTTTTTTCAATGTATATTTCGACTGTGAGGGAGGAGTAGGTGTGTCTAATACAAGATGTGTTATTAAAATTTTGAAACACAGGATTTTTCAATAAAAATGAAATGATTTGTTTTTGTTAAAGAAAAAAGAGAGGAAATATCCTTAAAAGAATTGAGAAAAAGCGAAAAAAAGACAATTGATATTTTTATTTATATTCCATGCAATTAAGTTCTGCATACAATGACATTTAACGGCCCATTGTGGACTTCTTTTACAAAAGCGAAATCGATAAGCGTAAGTTGTGTGGATTGCTTTCAATTAAATCTGAGGTAATCGCACTAATAGGACGTTAGGTGAGAATATATTCCTTGTAAGGAATGAGTCGAGAATCGAGTTAATTGCTTTAGACCAACAGTTTCAAATAACTAGAAGAGTTGCAAGAAGGAGTTCAATAGCTTCTTGGAAAACCATTCGATTTCGGAAATCCATGCAGTTATTGCGCCGTAAACTTTCTCATGTAATAAATCGACGATTTGACGTGATATGAGGCACGTAGTCTCATCTTTTTGAAATCAGATATTGTTTAAGGCAATTTCTTGCACCTTGGAACGTAACAATTTAGTTAACATTAATTAATGGTTTCCTTCACTAGTAACATAAGGGGACTTCTGCAAAAAGATATCATAGTGATCTTTTTCCTTTGTAAAAACGCCACTGAAATTTAGCACAACCGTTCCATGATCAGTTTAAAAGTGGACAAAGTTACAAAATCTATCACATGCATGCGAACAATGTAAATGAAACTGAATCAACCTCGAAAAAACGCTAGCAATTTCCCGATATTCAGACTTAATCTAAGGAAGGTCATAAGAAAACATTCAATGTCAAGTTTGCTCTTCTAGATAAGCTATACTATTAAGTTTGTCAATGTGATTTTAATAGATGAACTGAGGTGCGAACGTTTCTAAATTGACACCACTATATACGCCAATCGAATTCACATAGTGCGATCCATGTGTCTGGACGTTTTGCAAATATATTTTGAAAATCTAATGGTGCCTTCTAATGGTGCCTGTAAAAAAAGTATAATCTGAAAAACTATATAGACTAATAATGGAAAGACATTCAATAAATACTTAGGAATAATGGTTCAAAACTCCTTAACATGTGAAAGAAGTAACCGATCGAGTTTTTATTATGGAGAAAATTCATTTGCTCGAAGATAAGCGAAATTCATTATGCAGAGCATATCGTCAATTAAAGGAAATGAAAATATTTTCCTTGAATTAAATTAAACTGAAATTTAAAATTAAATTTAATTAGAATTGAAAATTTAAATTAAAATATGGTTAAGAGTCGGCTATTTATCGTTTAGTGAAAGGCTTTAAAAAAATAGCGCTCGCAGCGGAGACGTTCGCAACTTCATTGAATATCAGTTGGGAAGATTGCTATTCCTATTCGTGTAACACGGAGACGGTCAGAAAGAAGTGAGCAAGCAGAAAGCGATTGGCTGGTGGCGGCCGCAGTCTAGTATGTGTCTAAGCGGCGCAGAGCCCACTATAGTTTCGATCAAAGTAAACTCTATCGCACTTGCGGTTTTGAAGCCGTAAACACTGGCTTCTTAGTTGCGTTTCTTAAGTACATGGCTATTCAAACGGTAGTATCAAAAAAAAAAAAGACGTGCAAAACAAATAAAATGCAAAGAACGTATGATATTTTAAAGGTAAGCACGATTATGTGGGCAAAAGAAATATGTCTCCCATAAGTGCAGTGTGTCTGCCGTGTGTGGAGTTTTATATCTAATGTTTATTACTGTTCATTGCCTTAGGTGGTGAAATGTTTATTGTTAATTTTAAATAATAACTGTAAATAATTGTTATTGTAAAATAAATTTACGATATACATAGGTGTATATATATATTAATGTAATCCTACTCGAGTTACTATGATTTAATTAATTTAAAAACATTGCGTTTATTTATTTTTTTAATTTTCTTATTTTTTTTTTTATTTTTATATATATATATATATATATATATATATATTGTTTTTTTTGATATCATTTCTACTATACATGAATGCATATATAGATTTAAATGTTAGTTACGTACGTAGTTATGTACTCTACTTATTGACTTTAA